GTTCTAATTCTTTATTGGCCAAGTGTGATTGGACACACAAGGAATTCTACTCTATTCTATTCTATCCTATCCTATACTCTATCCTATATAACCTTATCCTATCCTCTATTTTGTTCTATTCTAGAATAGAATAGAATTCTTTATTGGCCAAGTGTGATTGGACACTCAAGAAATTCTATTCTATCCTATGTTCTATCCTATATAACCCTATCCTATCCTCTATTTTGTTCTGTTCTGTTCTATTTTCTATCCTATCCTACCATGTTTCTCATATAATAAGGCCGGGTCTTATTTTCTTTTGAGCCCCGAAAAAAATGGCTAGGCCGTCTTTTCAGGGGTGACTTAATTCCCCCCCTCTTTGCATCTTCGGGCGGGCGGCGACGGCTTGGATGTTGACCTCGGCGTTGGTGGGGCACTTCGTATCGGGGTCAACGTAGGCAGCACCATATACGGGTGTGCAACAAAAGTACTTCCTAACGGCAAGGCCCCCCGCCATTCCCCCCCATTTCGCATGTTTTAATATAGGTCTTAATTTGGGGGGGAGGGGCTTAATTTCATTTCGTGCCTATAAAACATGCTGGGACTTCCTATTGGGGGAGGCCGTATTGTTGGAGAAACAGGGTATATAATCCTATCCTATCCTCTGTTCTATTCTATTCCATTCCATTCCATCCCATCCCCAGAAAGATTCAAAAACAGACAACGGAATATCTAAAGTGAAAATTACATCTCCTCCTCCTAATATTAATGGAAGAGGGAAGCGTTTAAAAATTGTGTAACTTTATATCCCGCAACTGAATTATTATTATTTTTTTGGAATGATCCTGTCTTACCCTCAGTTTCTCCTCTTCTGCTTGGCTCAAGAGAAAGCCTTCGGCCAGGGCCACCGCTTGGGAACAGGTCTTTGCTCCGCACTCCTGGACCCAGCTTGTCATCTCCGGAGGAAGGACAGTCAGGAACTGCTCCAGGACCAGAAGATCCAATATCTGAGCCTTCGTGTGCTTTTCTAACTTTAGCCGCCGCCGGTAAACATGGTGGAGTCGGCTACAAAGTTCTCGGGGCCCGTCAGCTTCTTGGGAAGAGGTTTCCATGAAAGAAGGAGTACCTAGGACCCCACTGGTAGTTTCCCCTTCCAGGATGTATTGATTGTTTTTTTCCATGAATTTTCCACCTGTCTTGTTCAATACAACCCTGGGGTCTCTTTCTTCTCCTTTCCTCGCTGTGTGTTGTTGTGTGTCTGTTTTCCTTCTGTGCTCAAATGCCGTTCTGGTCAATTTCAAAGGACTTCCCCATTCTGCAAAGTATGTTTCATTGATAGGAGCAGGATGGCAGGAAAAACTCCCCTGCGCCATCTTGGGAATTTTTTTCTTCCTGGAAAACTGGAAACTTTACACACAACTAGAGGTGACACAATAGCAGTGTTCCAATATCTCAGGGGCTGCCAGAAAGAAGAGGGAGTCAAGCTATTCTCCAAAGCACCTGAAGGCAGGACAAGAAGCAACGGGTGGAAACTAATCAAGGAGAGAAGCAACTTAGAACTAAGGAGAAATGTCCTGACGGTTAGAACAATTAATCAGTGGAACAATTTGCCTCCAGAACACTGGAAGTCCCAAAGGTGCTTTTTTCAAGAGACAACTGGACTTTCTGGTTGTTGTTTTTATTTGAAGACATTTCGCTTCTCATCCAAGAAGCCTCTTCAGCTCTGCCTTCAAAGAAACCGCCTTTGGATTATGGATTTCCTGTCTGGCCACTCACAGAGGGTCAGACTAGGTAATTTAACACTGGTACACCACAGGGTTACGTGTTGAGTTCCTTACTCTATACTCTTTATGTGCACGACTTGCATTCCCACTCACGCTAGTAATACTATTGCTAAATTTGCAGATGATACAACAGTGGTGGGACTTATCTCCGGGGAATGAGTCTGCCTACTGAGATGAGGTGGATCGGTTGGTTTCGTGGTATGGAGACAATAACTTGGTCCTCAACACCAATAAGAACAAGGAGCTTATAGTGGATTATAGAAGGAACAGATCAAACATCCAGCCCTTGCTTATCAATGGAGACCGACTGGAGCAAGTGGCCAGTTTTAAGTTTCTGGGTGTTACCAGAAAAGAGGACCTGACCTGGGGTGCCCACATTGCAGCCCTGGTCAAAAGGGCCCAGCAGAGATTACACTACCTGAGACTTCTCAGGAAACAACAACTGAATGAAAACTGCTGGTGATCTTCTACCGCTGCACCATAGAGAGTATTTTAACTTACTGCATCTCTGTATGGTTTGCCAATTGCACAGTGGCAGATAGGAAAGCACTCCAGAGGCTAACGTCATTGCCCAGAGGATCCTTGGTTGCCCTCTCCCCTCTCTGGAAGAGCTTTATAGCTCCCGCTGCCTGAAGAAAGTTCAAGACATTCTCAAAGATCCATCTCATCTTGGGAACCCTTTTTTTGAACTATTAACCATCTGCCAGACGGTACAGGATAATAAAAACAAGGACAAATAGGCTGAAAAACAGCTTCTATCCCAGAGCAGTAGCTCTTTTGAAATCTGCTGTATAGTGCAGTGTTGGTGCGGTGTTGGGAGTTTTCAATTCAATGTGTGGAGGGTGAAGGATGTGTGTTTGTGTTTATTTTCATGTTCCTGATGTGCACTGAAGATGGTGTTAGATTTCGTTGTAGATGTGCAATGAGAATAAAGTAAACTAAAACTAAGCTAAACGTCTTCAGAGAAAAACCAGAAGGTCCCAATGTCTCTTGAAAAAGCCCCTTTGGGACAGCCATGACCTGGATGACTGAGAATCTCCAGAGACATCTTCCAAAATGGAAGTTTTTAAGAAGAGACTGGACAACCATTAGTCTGAAATGGTACCGTAGACCTTCCTACCGGAGCAGGGAGCTGGACCAGTGGTGGGATTCAAATTTTTTTACTACCGGTTCTGTGGGTGTGGCTTGGTGGGCATGGCAGGGGAAGGACAGGGGTGGGATTCTACCAGTTCGCACCTATTTGCTAGAACCGGTTGTTAACATTCTAAGCAGTTCAGAGAACCGGTTGTTAGAAGAAATTACTGGCCTAATCCTGTAAGGGAGGCAGGAAGGAAACATTCTGGTGTTGCTTACAGAAACTGCCTCTCCATTAACCCTTATTACATTCTTGGCAGGACCTGACTTCCTATCTCAGGAACTTCTCTGAAGTTTTTTTCCCCTCCTTTGCTGGTACTTTGCTTGTGTGGAGTGACCATTCAAAGTTACACTGAAAAAAGTGACTTATGACCATTTTTCACACTTACGACTGTTGCAGCATCCCCACAGTCCTGAGAGGCCAGGCGAGGAGATGCGTGCCTCAATGTGAGTGATATTGAGTTGGCCACACCCCGCCAATAATATGACCACCAAGCCATGCCCACCCAGTCACATGACCACCAAGCCACTCCCACTACCTAAGCCACACCCACATAACTGGTTGTTAAAATTTTTGAATCCCACCCCTGGGGAAGGATCCATCCCCACTCCACTTCTGGGGGAAGGTTACTGTAAAATCCCATTCCTTCCGCACCCCACTAGCCTGTTTTCCAGCTCCATTCTCCTATGCAGGGCAACAAAAGAAGAGCCAGCCAATCAGCTGGGACTCGGAAGGCAGAGAATAGATGGGGGCGGGGCCAGTCAGAGGTGGTATTCAGAGATACTCAAAATTTCTGCTACTGGTTCTCTGAACTACTCAAAATTTCCACTACCAGTTCTCCAGAACTGGTCAGAACCTGCTGAATACCACCTCTGGGCTGGACTAGAAGATCTCCAAGGTCCCTTCCTTCCAAACTCTTTGTTATTCTGTTCTGCTGCAGATTTAGCCGCAGACCGAAGCCAGTGGAGGATCTGCAGGGAAACAGCTGAGCGAAGCTGGGCCAAGTCTGCCTTTGCTCCCTGGATCTCCTTGCCCACCTCCACCCCGCCCCGTTCCCCCTCAACCCTTCCTGCCCGGGTTTTCCAGGACAAAAGCATCCCATCCTAGAGCACTTTTTTTTTTTTTTGCTCTAAGGGCTGCAAGCAAGGCAGAATTGCAAAGGCGGGGTTGCAAAAAAAAAAAAAAAGGAAAGCTGCTTCGCCTGGCATCCAGAGGGGCAAGGAAGGGAGCGCAAACTCCATCCTTACCCGGCAATCCTGCACTCGATCTCCAAAGCCAGCCGCGCCAGCAGAAGGATCCGCGCTCCTAAAGCGATGCAAGACGCAGCGGCCTCGCAAGCCCGCCAGCCTCCCCCCGCCCCACTCAACTCCCTGGTCTTCCAAGAAAGGGTTAAAGGGAGAGAGAGAGACAGTTGCTTCCTAGAAGGGGCATGCTCGGGCCGGGGATTTCTCTTGACGGTGCTGGCGCGGGGGTCCTCCGGGCTCTTTGGTGCAGGCTGTCCTGGGTTGAAGGCAGGGGCGGGGGAGGCTCTTTTTGCAGGAGGTCGCAGTTTAGTGGTGGCTTGCTTGCAGTAACCCGATGTAAAGCGAAGCCGCGGTTTGCTTTAGGCTTGGCTCGGTTTCAGAGGACGTCGAATTCACGTTTGAAAGAGCTGAGCAACATATTTCGGTTTAGCACAAGAGGCAGACGAGCGAATTCTCCAAAGCACCAGAAAGCAAGACGAGAAGCAACGGATAGAAATTGATCAAGGAGAGAAATTTCGTGACAGTGAGAACAATTATTCAGTGGAGCAACTTGCCTCCGGAAGTTGTGGATGCTCCAACACTGGATGAAGTTTTAAAGGAGAGATTGGATGACCATTTGTCTGAAGTAGTTTTCTGCCAGAGCATGGGGTTGGACTAGAAGACCTCCAAGGTCTCTTCCAACCTATTCTATTCCTAGTCTGTTCTATTCCATTCCTATTCTTTATTCTCTTCTCTTGTTCTCTTCTCTTCTGTTCCTAGTCGTCTAGTCTAGTCCATTCCATTCCTATTCCTTTTTCTATTCTATTCCTATTCCATTCCTATTCCTTATTTTATTCTATTCTATTCCATATTCTATTCTATTCCATTCCTAT